CAGGTACTGGTGCAATACTGGTGTATAGTGCTGGTAAAGGTACCAATACTGTTATAACGGTATATAGTACTGGTAAAGGTACCAATACTGTTATAACGGTATACAGTACCGGTAAAAGTACCACTACTACTGTTATAACGGTATATAGTACTGGTAAAGGTACCAATACTGTTATAACGGTATACAGTACCGGTAAAAGTACCACTACTACTGTTATAACGGTATATAGTACTGGTAAAGGTACCAATACTGTTATAACGGTATACAGTACCGGTAAAAGTACCACTACTACTGTTATAACGGTATATAGTAATGGTAAAGGTACCAATACTGTTATAACGGTATACAGTACCGGTAAAAGTACCACTACTACTGTTATAACGGTATATAGTAATGGTAAATGTACCAAAACTGTTATAACGGTATACAGTACCGGTAAAGGTACCACTACTACTGTTATAACGGTATATAGTACTGGTGAAGGTACCACTACTACTGTTGTAACGGTATATAGTAATGGTAAAGGTACCAATACTGTTATAACGGTATAAAGTATCAGTATGAGTACCACCACTAGTAAAATTATGGTACCTAGTCCACCATAACGACGTAATTTAGTACTTCTAACGGTACACACCACTACAACAGTACATCCCATCACTCAAGGAAAATTATAGTCCTTTGTCACACACACACACACACACACACACACACACACACACTACGGGTACGAACAGTCTTATTAAACATTGAAATCTAGCAGGCTAACTCACGCATGCATTCCTAGCCCGTGTTTACAACTGGCAGAGGCGAGCGCTAGGACACACCTCGCGCCAGCTAGAACGCACCAGTGTTAAAGATGTACACAACAACTGAACCCGATTCTCCCTCCCTCCCCCGTACCACCACATACACGTCTGTCACTCACTAAAACTCAAATTAATCCTAAAAAAAAAATTATTAGAGAAGGATAAAAGGACGTAGCTGAGGTAAATAATAAGTGAGGGTCCCTACACACGCGCGGTAATACATATGATAGCGCAAGTTACGTGGGAAGAAAGATACACAAGTGGGATTCAGTTCCAATTTAGGGCTTTCCTGCAACCCCGCCACCACCGCTGACTTTAAACCGGATCCGCTATTCCCTTTTGTCTTACTTAACGGTTCATTGTCGTTCTAGGATATTGTCAATGAAGACAATGCCGCCGAATCAGTTAATTTCAAATAGCGATGTATCGTTATTTCGTCGTTATACAGGGAGGGAGGGAGGGAGGGAGGGAGGGATATATATATATATATATATATATATATATATATATATATATATATATATATATATATATATATATATATATATATATATATATATATATATATATATATATATATATATATACTGTACATGTAATTCTGGTGTGTAGAAAGCTTTTGGTTTAACGCACGGATTGGAAATTCGAATTGTGTGAGGTTGGTTGGATTTGGGGGTCCACCACCCTCACGGTACAGAGGATTGGTCTTACGGTACACAGGTTAACCCCCCTTTCCCCTCCTCCTCCCCCCTGCACACGGTACGGAGGATTAGTCAACCCCACTTCCCACCAAAACCCACGGTACGGTGCAGGTGTACCCCCTACCCCATGGTAGTGAGCACGTGTACCCCTTAACCCATGGTATGGAGCACGTGTGCCTCTTAACCCATGATATGGAGTGCTTGTACCCCTTAACCCACGGTATGGAACACGTGTACCCCTTAACCAACGGTATGGAACACGTGTACCCCTTAACCCACGGTATGGAACACGTGTACCCCTTAACCCACGGTATAGAACACGTGTAGGCTTAACCCACGGTATGGAACACGTGTAGGCATAACCCATGGTATAGAGCACGTGTAGACTTATCCCATGGTATGGAGCACGTGTACCACTTAACCCACGCAGGTGTACCCCTTACTCCATGGTAATGAGCACGTGTGCCCCTTAACCCATGATATGGAGCACTTGTACCCTTTAATCCACGGTATGGAGCAAGAGTACCCCTCAACCCACGGTATGGAGCACGTGTACCCTTTAATCCACGGTATGGAGCAAGAGTACCCCTCAACCCACGGTATGGAGCACGTGTACCCCTTAACCCACGGTATGGAGCACGTGTATCCCTTAACCCACGATACAAAAGGTTGGACTCACCTTCCCCACAAGAGGTAGTATCCCTCGCCCTCTCTTCCTTTACCCGTGTGTGTGTGTGTGTGTGTGTGGAGGTATGGTCACACGTGGGCCGAGATGTTTCTCATGAGAATAGAGAGAACAAACATTCCCAAGGACACACACACACAAGTCTGGTTGACGCGTAAAAATGATTTATCGACTTTAGCGCAAATCAAAACATTATCTTTCGGCTCAAAACAAGACACGTTATTACTGCCATGTCCTGCAGCGATACAACAAACTAGTCCAGTACATGACTGAACAACGCCACACACGGGTGAACAACGCCACACACGGGTGAACAACTCCACACACGGGTGAACAACGCCACACATGGGTGAACAACGCCACATGGGTGAACAACGCCACACATGGGTGAACAACGCCACACATGGGTGAACAACTCCACACAGGGGTGAACAACTCCACACAGGGGTGAACAACTCCACACAGGGGGTGAACAACTCCACACAGGGGGTGAACTTCACACAGGGATGAACAACTCACACAGGGGGTGAACAACAACACACAGGGGTGAAGAACTCCACACAGGGGTGAACAACTCCACACAGGATGAACAACTCACACAGGGGTGAACAACCACACAGGGGTGAACAACTCCACGCAGGGGGTGAACAACCCACACATGGGTGAACAACTCCACAACAGGTGTGAACAACTCCACACAGGGGTGAACAACTCCACACAGGGTGAACAACTCCACACAGGGGGTGAACAACTCCACACATGGGTGAACAACTCCACACAGGGGTGAAAACTCCACACAGGGGGTGAACAACTCCACACAGGGGGTGAACAACTCCACACAGGGGTGAACAACTCCACACAGGGATGAACAACACAGGGGTGACAACTCCACAGGGGTGAACAACTCCACACAGGGGAGGGGGTGAACAACACAGGGGGTCCACAGGGGTGAACAACTCCACACATGGGTGAACAACTCCACACAGGGGTGAACAACTCCACACATGGGTGAACAACTCCACACAGGGGTGAACAACTCCACACATGGGTGAACAACTCCACACATGGGTGAACAACTCCACACATGGGTGAACAACTCCACACAGGGGTGAACAACAACACACAGGGGTGAACAACTCCACACATGGTTATAGGATGTATGTATTACCCCACGCCTCATCGTCCTGTTATCATCTCTCCATTTCCTCTTCTCCACTAATATTACCAACTCTGTTTATCTCCTTGTGGCTATTTATTATTTCATCTATTCTTAAGCTTCCACTTTTTGGTAGCGTTAGTCAGCCGAACACACGCCGTTCCTGACCTGTGCTGAACCAATACATTACTTAACTGTTTGCTAACATTTGTATGCCTGTCGCGGTGTTTACCAGTACAAAGACTTTACCTATTTACCTGTCCTGGTCAGCAGCACACTCACTCAAGAACGTTAACTCTCTCCCCATACACATTACCTTTCTCTCATACACAATATTTTTCACTCATACACATTATTATTCACTCATCATACACATTATTATTCACTCATCATGCACATTATTATTCACTCGTCATGCACATTATTATTCATGTATAGGTGTAGTGTATGTTACATGGGTGTCAATATAACTGTATTTGCCTCAGTGTTTCTGGTTCTGTAACACTCATGTAATACAGTCAGCAGATGGGAATAAACGTACGTGTGTGTGTGTGTGTGTGAGTGAGTGAGTGTGTATTTATACCCGGGCCACTTATTGTCAACAGTAAATAGTTTGACACACACACACACACACACACACACACACACACACACACACACACACACACACACACACACACACTCTAAGGTATCTCCCCTAGGTTTCCGGCCTCCGAACGGATAACAGGTGTTCACCCTCGAGTGGTGTGTGTACCATAGGAGAAGACATGTGATGAAGTGAGGTAAAGAAGGAGGTAGGACTCTCCCATGAAGTGAGACAACATTGGAGGTGGGAGGAGATTAAAGTCAAGTCCTCCCATGCAACAGTAGCAGGGAGGAGATGCAGTACCCCTTGGCCCTCCCACGTAAGAGCAGAGAGAGAGAGAGAGAGAGAGAGAGAGAGAGAGAGAGAGAGAGATTTGCAGAGTATAAAACAAGAGAAAGAATCACACCCTTTCTCTACCTTTACGCCAACAGGTAGGAAAAAAAAAGTAATCAATAATGGCTAAGTCTTATATCACTCTTACCAACAACAGTGTTCTCGCTTCCTCTGACCCTATATATATGCTCCCTGTCACCCTCCCTCGTCTCAATACCTTCTCCTTCCCTCACCTCTTTATACCTACCTATCTCCGTCCCTCCCCTTACACCAGTCTTTATAACAATCCTGAAATAACTCACTCTCTCTCTCTCTCTCACTCCTTTTCTCTGACTCACTCCTTCTCTTACCCAATATAACATCCAATACATTAATTAAGGCCTCGGAATTCTAAAATAGCTCTCTGTCTCTCCATACACTTATACCCCAAGTACCCATTTTAGTCTAACCGTAAATAAGAGCTCATTACACCCCACTTATACCCAAGATCCTTATAAGTCAATCTATCCCGTAACTACAGTCAGATACAATATGCCAGTACACCCCACTTTTACACCCTAGAACCTGGAAGCCGCTACACCCAATAACTTGTACTCAAATACACCAAGTAACTCCTTATACACAGGACTTGAAGCTTTTGGGTATAGAGCAAGAACAACAATAACAAACCTTACCTGCACACACTAAAGCCTTAGGCATTAAGAACACAAAATCGCGGCCATATATGCACCTTTACCTTTGATGGAGTTAGACTTCTTTTCGGTGGAGGGTGGGCGGTTTGTGGGCGTGGGGGTGGAGGAGGACGGGGTGGTGGTGTCGACGGCATCACCCGCCACCTCCCTCTCCCACCCTGGCCCGAAGAGCTCACTCAGAATATCCATCTTGGCGAGGCTCTCCTCCGGGTTCTTCAGAAGGGTTCCGAAATCCCACTGGTTTTTGTTGATGGGATCCAGCGTAAAGATTTATTGGGGACGTCTTGTGCGATGAAATACAGTAGTAATACTAATAATAATAACAATGGTAATAATAATGCCACGGATAATAGTAGTAAAGAGGCTTCACTTGTGCCGACGGTGAGTAATATCCTTCACACGTGATTAACACACTTAATCTAATGTAAAGTTACCCGATGTATATATATATAAATATATACATATATATACGTATATATATAAAATATGTAAACAAACAAACAAACACACACAGTAGAGTTCCAGGGGTTACAGATGTGCGACTTAAATATCCAAATATCACGAAAAATGACCTTACTATCACCTGTGTCTAGCACTACGTCCTTTACACACAACGACAACACACAAACACTCGGTGCTCGCTATTCTTATGTATTCAGGTAGATATTTGTTTCAAGGGGAGCACCGCTGAGTAGCACCTTGTTGTTGTTGTTGATAACGAAAGGTATTTTTTGCACCATGAATCACGTCACTGTATTCGTTGGATGAGACACTGACACCAATGAAAGAAAAGCTTTTGCACCACACTGTACCGCGAACAACCTCACGTTAGATTAGATAAGCGACTTGCACGCTAGCGGTGGTGATGTCAGCGGCTGGTGATGATGACTGCTGCTGGCTCTGAGGGATGACTGACACACTTGTTAGCTTGTGTTAACTTCCACCCCGATGGTGTTGTAATCTGGGTATTTAGTAGTCGGAGGTGGGGGGCCCCTGGGTGATGGACAAGGGGGCTCGGGTTTCGAGTGTTACTTGGGGTGGGGTGTGTTGCCAGGTGGTGTAGAGTAGTGTTCTTGTAGTGTCCAGGATGGTAATTAGCCGTAGTCCGGTGGGCCTCGACGCGTGACCAGGTACCGTCAGACTAACTGTACCCTCGCGTCTCTGCTGACGACAACCATTCACTCACATCACTTTTTCTCGAGTTATCCACATCTTTTTTTATTATTTTTCACTGGTTTATATTTTCCACAAACTATGGACATCAAGTGCAGTGGGTGGTGTGAGTGGGCGTGCGGGCGTGGTGAGTGTGAGACGGTGGGTGTGTGTGGTGCGCGCGGCTCACAGCTCTGGGGTCAATGAACCCTCGGCACCTTACTATGGCTCGAGTCCACTGGCTCTACTTCCCCAGCCTTCTACTGTTTCTGACACTGGTGGCACTGTCACACTGGACACTTCATACGTCCCTGGTGAAGGTGAGGGCGTGATGGGCGGCGGGTGGGCGGCGTGAGAGGCTGTGAGAGAGTGAGGCCACAAGGCCGCCTGCACCACCGTCGCGGGGTGAATGACCCCTCGGCGAGATACTCCTCGCGCGTTCACAACATTGGCGCCCTTGCTGCCGCTAACACCCACTGTCCTGCCTCTCCTGCAGTTCCTACACACTCCTGCACGCTGCACACGCACCTTTCTTATCCCTGGTTGCCACTGGGTGTGGTAACACTCACTACTGTACACTGGGGACACCTTCAGTGTTCACAACACAGGGGTCACACGTGCTCAGCTGGCTGGCACTGTCATGAACTCACTGTTGGACGCTCACTCTCAAGGCTCACAATTTTCTTCTGGTTTCTCACTTATTTTTCTTCGCGTAACACTTTGTTGACTTGGTCACTTTAATCACTTGGTACTCACGAGCACCTGTCACCACAATATTCCTACTTGCGTAAGGGCAGGACCAGGGGTCAATGACCTCCGTCAGTAGTAACACTTGAGAGTATGACTGGTGCCGGGTGGTAGAGCACCGCTGTGGCACCATTCAGCACCTGCAGGCGGTGTCATTGGTTGTGGTGGAGGGTGGTGAGGGAGGGTGTGTGTGTGAGCACGGAGCGGGCGGCTGGTGGAGTGCGCGGGGCTGTGTTCGGGTCGGTGGCCGCCGCAGGTCTGGCAGCGGGACTAGGTCACCCGGGAGGAAGTTACCGTACTACTCCACCGCACTCACGCCGCACACACCAACCCACGCACACACCATACACTCCCCTACACCCATCAAGCATCAGATGGACACACATGGCGCTACACCCCCCACCCACCACCACCTACACACCTGACACTTCCGGGTGACAATGATGACAAGACGTGAGTACAGTAGCAGTACTTGGCTGCCCTCACACCCCCCCCCCATACACCTTTAGTACTCTTTAGATCTGCCCATTACCATCCCAATAACCATTTTCTCTTCAATGTAAAATATAAACACACGTACAAGGGTGAACGAACATACACACGCAGACATAAATTGATGACCACAGCGACGACAGTAAAAGTTACCTGGGAGAGGTAGAGGGGCAACATGGGAGGCAGTCACCCTGAGAGGACAACACGTGGGAGGAGGGGGAACACGTGGGGAGAACACGTGGAGTGAGAATACGTGGAAGGAGGGGGACATAAGGAGGGAAGAGAGAGGACACGTGGAAGAGAGGAATACGTGGGAGGAGTAACACAAGGGAGGGAACAAAAGGAGAGGGGGACTTATGGGAAGGGGGAGGAACATAAGGAAGGGGAGAACATAAGGAAAGGAGGAACATAAGGAAGGGGGAGGAACATAAGGAAAAGGGGAGGAACATAAGGAAGGGGAGGAACATAAGGAAAGGGGAGGAACATAAGGAAAGGGGGAGGAACATAAGGAAAGGGGGAGGAACATAAGGAAAGGGGGAGGAACAGTTCTTTCGCCATACAGTTCCGTTATACCCGGAGGTGAGTCATTCTATACAGTGATGACGTCATGAGAGTTACCTGTGGCCTTGCTTCTATCTTCTCTTCCCTTTTCCTCCTCCTCTTCCTGCTTCTCCTTATTTTTCCTTTTAGTTCTCCTCCCTCTCTCTTCTAGTCATCCTCTTCATCCTATTCCTTCCTCTTTTAGTCCTTTTCCTCCCCATCTTTATCCTTCTTCTCCTTTACCTTTAGTTTTTTTTTAATTCCTTCTTTCTCCTCTTGTAGTCCTGCACCTACTACTCTTTCTTCTAATCTTCCTCCTTCGCCTTCTAATCTTTCTTCTACTCTTCCTACTTTGATCTTCACCTTATAATATTCCTCCTTCACCTCCTAATCTTCCTCCTATATTCCACCTTCTAATCTTCCTCCTTCCCTTCTAATCTTTCTTCTACTCTTCCTACTTTGATCTTCACCTTATAATATTCCTCCTTCACCTTCTAATCTTCTCCCTATCTTCCTACCTTCTAATCTTCCTCCTCTACCTTCTAATCTTCCTCCTCCACCCAATCTTCCTCCTTTCCCTCATTATACAACACGTCATCATAATCTTATACATTCGTTCTCCCGAAGTATTATCATCAACTTTTCCTTTGCAACTTTTATTATCTTTTTGTTCTTTCCATAATTTACTTTTGTGTGATTTTACATTGTAGTGAATTTAACTTTTTTTTAATCAGTGTGTGTGTGTGTGTGTGTATAAATATCCAGACATAAAAATAACACACACACACACACACACAAAACACAACAAGAAATGCAATTACATACATACCTACATGCAGTACACTTACATACATGCATACAAAAACACACAAACCCAAATACACAATAGAAATATGCAAACAAACAAACAAACAAACAAACAAACACACATACAGTACATAAACATAAAAAAAACAACTACAGACATGAAAATAAAAATAAAGACATTAAGTTAAACACACACATTATGTAAACAAACACCAACCTCCTCTTGTTACGTCTACTAAAACGTATTTACATCTGTATGACAATTGTGTGTTTTTATTGTTTAAAGAAAGTTTCTTATTCTTTATTTTGTCCTTTGTTTCTGTGTGATTGTCTGTCTGTTTGTCTTTCACTCCCTTTTATTCATCTCCCTCATTCTCTCATTTATATTTATTTTCTCTCTCTCTTACCCTACCCCTTTCCACTCTCCCCTTCTCCACTCTCTTTTTCTCCCTCCTTCTCTTTCTGTTATGTTCCCCCCCCTTCTCTCTTTCCCTTTCTATCTTCTCTTTCTTTCTCCCTTTCACTCTCATTCCCTCTTCCCCCCTCTCTCACCTTACCCACTCCTCACTACTTTCCATCTTTCCCCTCTCTCTCCTTCCCTCATCCCCCCTTCCACTCTCTCTCTCCCCCTCTCTACTTCCCCCATCATCATCATCACTAGGTAGTACTTGTCGTCACTAACAGAATAAAGAGACTCAACTCGGCTGCCTCTTTGATCTGTAGACAACGAGAAAGTATTATGGCGCCCTTAGTTAGTGGGGAGATTAATATGATGCCTACTGTCTGTGTTTGTCTGTCTGTCTGTATTTGTTACTGTGAGGGTTTGTCACACGTGTGGGGTGTGTGTGTGTGTGTGTGTGTGTGTGTGTGTGTGTGTGTGTGTGTACTGTACATGTAAGCGTCTGAAAGCTTAATTTTTTCCCTAATTACCTTCGTGATTGTCACCTGCAAGACATAATTACCTGCGTGATAAGCCACCTGTGTACCGTAAATAAGACACACGACAGTAACATGTGACGACCTCATAACGATAACAAGATACAATACAACTAATAAATAAATAATAAAAAATAAATATCTAAAAAAATCCAAACACAAATACAATAAAATATATAAGAATAAACCACATGAATAAAAAATAATAATCAAAATCACATTAAAATAAAAAAGTAGAGCCCACAAAAAAACGAATTAAATCTATAAATAAAAAAGTCGTGATAAAACCCATTTAGCATAGTTAGGGATACACGAGGAAAACGGGTGTATATGGTAGAGAGGAGGGGAGACTCTTGAAGAACTTGTGGAACCTATACAAGGCGTGTCCTCTCTCTCTCTCACACTGAACGGGGGAGGGAGGTGAGACATGGTAGGCAAACTGAGTGACAGACACGCTATACTGTCCTTCAGACGACCCGATGAAGTGTGAGATGAATGCTAAGTGTTTTTCTCTCCGCACACACACACACACACACACACACACACACACACACACACACACACACACACACACACACCACACCATAACACACACATACACACACACATAAACACACACACACACTGCACACACACACACACACACACACACACACACACACACACACACACACACACACACACACACAACACCGTATTAAAAATCTACTAAAGCCAAAAGGAGGAGACTTACAAGACAACATAAATTCACTAACTAAACAACCTTATGAGAAAAATAATAATAATAATAAAAACTGACAATACCTAAAAGATAAAATGACAGGTAGATATTACATACTTCCATCGCACTAAAATTTAAAACACGTCATAAAAAAATAATAACGAATAAATATCACAATCATTACCTCACGCCTTCAATTAAAATATGTTTTTATTCGTATTTCGACATGATTTTTTTTTATTGTGGTTTTATTTTTAACATTATATTAAGGTGATATTTCTCAAACCTGTGAAAAGAGTTAGTTTGTCTTGGAAAAAAATATGGAAGAATTATTGGACTTATTACTAATAGTCAGTTCTTTTCTACTTTAAATTATTGTTATTATTACAGAAGTTATTTACATTTTCCTTCCCCAAATCCCAATAATTTCTATAGGAAGAGAGGAGGGAGGGAGGGAGGGAGGAGGGGAGGGAGGAGAGAGAGAGAGGAGAGAGGGAGGGAGGGGGAGGAGGGGAGGGAGGAGAGAGAGAGAGGAGAGAGGAGAGAGAGAGAGAGAGGGAAGGGAGAGGGAGGGAGGGAGGGAGGAGGGAGGGAGGAGGGAGGAGGGAGGAGGGAGGAGGAGGAGGGAGGGGGAGGGAGGAGGAGGGAGGGAGGGAGGGGAGGGAGGAGAGGGAGGGGAGGGAGGGAGGGAGGGAGGGGAGGGAGGGAGAGGAGGGGAGGAGGAGGGAGGGAGGGAGGAGGGGAGAGGGGAGGGAGGGGGGAGGGAGGGAGGGAGGGAGGAGGGAGGGAGGGAGGAGGGAGGGAGGGAGGGGGAGGGAGGAGGGGGAGGAGGGAGGGAGGGAGGGAGGGAGGAGGAGGGGAGGGAGGGAGGGAGGGAGGGAGGAGGAGGGAGGGAGTGGGGGCTGCAGTAAAGGGGGTAGTAATACTGGAGTACTGTGTGGATGATAAATTGGAGGGACTGGACCACTACTACCTGGCCATCACCTCCAACAACCATTACCACCACTACGGCGTCATTACCACCATTACGTCATTACCACCACACTACCGCCACGTCATTGCCACCAGCAACACCATTATTTCTACCACCGCTCCTACCATCCTCAGCATCACTACTACCATAGCCATTACCACCACCACCTCCACCACCACCATCAACACAACCACCATCATCACAACCACAACTACTACCACCATCATCATCATCACTGGAAGTCATCAATACTAGTAAATGTGTATCATCAATTCTACGCAGTGCAGTAGACTCCATGACGCAATGGATGGTGAAGGGGAATCAATGTGTGTGTCATTATGGGGAGGCAGGAAAGGGGTGGGAGAAGGAGGGAGGGAGGAGGAGGGGGAGGGAGAGGGAAGGGAGGGAGGAGGAGAAAAAGGGTTGAAGAGAGGGATAGAGGGAGAAATAAGGTTGAGGAAGGGAGAGGGGGAGAAGAAGGAGGAAGGGATGAGAAGGGAGGAGGATTACACAAACCTCTTTCATATTATAGGACAAACCACCCTCCCCCCCCCCTTCCCCTCTCCTCCTCCCTTTCCCAGAAGCCAATACATATCACATGAAACACATACTAGACATTCTCATAAGGACGGACGCTATTTCCTTTTCTTAACATGGCAAACAAAAAAAAATCGCATCTTGTTATGGTCAAGTTGATGTGAAATTACGATATTTACGAGTTTTTTTTTTGGGGGGACCGTAGCTTAAATGGTGTGTGTGTGTGTGTGTGTGTGTGTGTGTGTGTGT